AGCTGCCTGGAGGAAAACGAAAATCCCCTACGAAGCGAAAGGCAGCAAAACTCACCACGGGGTCTTGTCTACCCTTTTACGTTTGGTCCCGAGACCAGAAGCAGCCTGCGCTTTGGCTGCGGCCCTGTGCACTTCCCTAGCCTTGTCGAACTCAGCCTTTGCTTCATACAGAGAATGTATGATCTGTGTGGGAAGGTCGGAATAACCAATCTCAACCTTTTTCGAACGATCAACCTGGTCAAAAACCGAATTTGTGATGTCATCAGCAATCGTGTTCTCTTCTCTCGGGCGCCATCTCAGTCTGGCCGAGACCCTCGCCCGGGAGAGTATCGAAGAAAGCTGCATGTTGATCAACATCAGTGGAATCTTGGTCGTCGACCGTTTCTGCGAAAGAAATTCGTTACTCTTATTATCCGTCCCAGCAGTCAAACAAATCTCAAGAGACTTCCTAGACCTAGACTCGCCCGTCCACCCGAAGGCAACCATGGCAGCCATCGTGGCTAAGAGCTCGGCCGAAGTGGAAGCCCACTGAGCCCCTTTCCCAGGTTGGAAGAGATATGGGGCCGCGGTCTCATCCAGTACAATCTGGAACCACCTCCCCGTTGTCAGTTCCCATCCGCCAAGAACAACACTGTCAGGAGTACATTTAGCGTCAGTGCGAAACTGTTCACCTGAGAAGTAATGAGGCCTCCGCGCAGAAACCATGTATGACTCTGCCCGAAACTCAGCTTGGAGATATCTCAAAGTGAGGATGACAACTTCAGGAAGCTTTGCAACCGTGCTTGCAGCCGTTGCCGCTGACCATGCAAACAGTGGAGAAAGGTGAGGCTTTAGCCAAACAAGCAACTGGGAAACAAATCCCAGCCTGCCTAAAAATTCTGCAAAGTCACGTGTCACGACAACGAACCTCTTCTCAGCCGCTGACTCAATCCACTTGGTGAGCCATTCACCTCGCCTTACTGAAATGCCTACCTCCGTCAAATCATACCTCATTTGATAGCCTACAAATTCGGACGAAATGCCACCACGAAATTTATGATATGCGAAAGGAGTGCCGATCAGCTCAAAAGCCAGGATCCAAATCCAGAGGTGCTGAAATTTAGATCGTCCCGTGAACGAGCCATGCAAGTCATCCACGTAAACGAGGTGCATGAACCATGCGTTGCCCATGAGATGCCCTACAAACCTCCCTATCAATGCGAACAGCTTCGCCCACCAGTACGGAGCGCTCGAAATCCCAAAGGTGCCCACGCGGTTCACCCATACCGTGGGAGAATTGGAGTCCGCCTTGCAAGCCATGTACGTCCAGTCCTTTTTCCGTACCTTGACCAAACGATGTGCGGATTTGATGTCGGCAGAAACACAAAAGGGGGCCTCGCGAGATTCATGTGACTCACGGACCACTGCCGCGACTTCCGGCGGCCCCGGGCACTGAATCTGATCTTGGTAAACAATGCAGTTATTCACCCTAACCGAGTGAGTCCCGTCGTGGAGAGGTCTGACCGAACCGTCTGGTTTTGAAATCGCTGCCATCGATGCGATTCGAATGCGATCTTCGCCAAACTGCTCTTTCAAAACAGAGAGCCTCGTGGGAAACATTCGGCCCAGCTGTTCTTCTTCTCTAAACTTAGCCTCGAGCTCTGCGGCAGAGACCTGTGCAGAGAGATAGTTAAAAGCAATCGGATTAAAGTCAGACTCGTCCAATTTTCTATGCCTTACCTTCTCGGGATACACCTGAGGGGACCTCGGGAGAGGCGCATCCACCCCCAAAGGCACACCAGAAGCGAAGCTGTCTTCAGCATCCACCAACCACCAACCGTCAGGGTCCTCAAACACCGAAAGCCGAAAGCCATTGGGCCAAGCCCCTCAACAGGAAGGGTTGCCCATCGTCAATCACTAAAGCATCTATTGGATCCCTCAAGAGGTTCGCCCAACGTTGCCTCAACTCTTTGAGAACATCGTCAGAGAATGGAGAGCCCTGAAACTTGCCTGTTACCAGCTCGAATGCAGCCAGCCTCAAGTCAGGAATGCATTCGTGCACCACATTGGAAAGGAGCTCGAAAGTCGCAGCGGCCAAACCTTTCATTTCTGAAGTGCGGCGCACTCCCCGGGATAAAGGTGGCCACCGTGTAGGCGAGCACAGTCCGAACCCATCAATGAAGTCACGTTCCAAACCGTCCCACTCGACTTTGATCGGGTGGCCCGACTTCAAGCACGCATCCATCCTAAAGACACAGTCATCGCTTCCAGCGGCAGTCACTGGGCTATTGTCCTGAGACCTAGACGAAGGGTCACCTGAATCAACCGCTGTGTGGGTTTGGTTGGAATTGCACTGAACCGAATTGCACTGTGCCGATTCAGGCAAGCCCTTGGGATTGCTCTGGACATTGCCTACCTTAGGGGTTCTATTTTCGGACCCCCCTCCGGAGGCAGCGCAAGCGGTGAAAATAGCATCTGCAATGAACGCACACATGCCAGGTGGATATGCAGCACTTGGACCTGTCTTCCATTGGTTGTTCTGCTTGCCAACCAACTTGTCAGCATGAACATGTCCGCAGGACTTGGGCAAGGGGCCTAAGTACCGAAAGGTGGAATCGAACTGGGGAAAGCCCTTGTGGCAACGAGAGTCCTGCAAAACAACATTGGACATCAAGCGTGTAGGCTTGGATGTGGGTGCTCCGAAGTGACATTGGTGAATTGCACAAGTGAAACCATCACACCATGTGAAAGGTTATGAATTTCCTCCCACTGCCAAATCGTGCCCGGCACTTCGCCGTTGACAACCCCCAAATCTTCGGGGTGTTCAAGCAAGAACCAGCCACCATGTTGAATAGCAATGAAACATGCATCGATGCAACGTGAAACGAACTCATTGGCTTCAGAGACAACTGCCTTGTGTGCATTCGAAAGCCATGGAAACCCTTTAGGCCACGTGTGACTTCTTAGAGGTCGAGGGCCTGGGTGCAATCGCCACTGGAATCTTGCCCTGGAGAAAGTGTTGCAAGGGGGTGAAACAATCAAAAACCAACGACCTTCCTGCAAGGTGGTGTGTATCTGTTCCCACAAGGTGTTGCTTCGCAAATCATGAGCCTCAGAACGTTCAATATCAAATTCCAGCAACTTCAAATCAATAAGGCCATCAGTCGACATTTTGTTTAAACAAGAACCGACATCAGCCTGTCGACGTTGCCCAGCAAATAAATACATGACCTTGACTTCGACCAACACGGATGCCAAGGTTTGTGGATCAGCCCCCTTGCTGGGGGAAGGAGCCCCATCCATTTGTCACGAGCCCGTCACCTCCTTGTGCTTAATGGCGGGGTGGTCGCCATAGCACCCTTTCACACGACACTGATGGACCCGATTGCACTTGCCATCACCCGGTGTGGTGAAATAGGTCTCTTTGAGGTCAGCGTCACGGATGACCAGGTGCAATGCATCTGCAAGAGTATGACCATCCCTCACAACAAGTTTGAATGCTTCTTTGCGCAACTTGTGCTCATACCCCAGGATGATACTCCAGTCCGGCTTGACTCGTTGTGATCCCTCGCCCTGAAGTGAAGGAATCTGTATGTTGTACACCTTCTCCCCAAGAATATAGTCAACAAAACGATTGAAAGGATCAGGAGTGAGTCCATGCAGCCATGACTTGGCCCGATACCGAGCTGCCATGCACAACCATGCATTCATCTCTACCTTCATCACCCTTCGATAATCCTCTGTCGAAGATGGAAGCCGAGCCTTGGTCTTTGTGCGAGTGATGCGGATGTGACCCGTGCTGTCCAAACCACTCTGCATTCCTGAAGTCGTTGAATCCCTTTTGCTCGTCACCTCGTCCAGTGGTGCCGCCTGTGGCTCATTCGATTCTGTCTCCTCAGCTTTCACAGAAAGGTAATCCGACAACGGCGCTTCAGCCTCTTGGAGCACACCATAGACTTGTTCAACTGCTTTGATCATGGCCTGCCTTTCATGAACCTGAAGAGATCTAGGCTGTCCAAGTACTTTTGCCTCAGCGCGAACCTCAACTTCTTTAGCAATATATTCCTGCGCCACCTCCCAAGATGACACTATTGCTGCCGCCTGAGCACGGTTTTCTGGCGTGTCCTGAGGGATAGCAAAGTCAGTGAGACACGAACGCCGAACCTCTGCCCGTGTATCACCAACCGCACGAAACTTTCTCATGCTCCCATAGTGGCGTGCAATGGTGACCTGATGTTCCAAGAAAACCCCTGAGTCTGTCAATACAAACTGCAGGTCCGAGTCCATATGCTCAGCCACATATCGCTTCTGTTCAGCTTCATCCATAGCCATAGCTTCGATCGATTCCGGGCGGTCAAAACCCTTTGCCCGCAGTTGTCCGAACAACTGAAAATGAAAGGTCCAAACCTTACCACGTGGATGGGGTCCCCTTTGTGTGAGTCCGAACTCATGCCAAGCACTTGAACTTGACTTATATTTGCCATAGCCCCTGGAGCCTGGCATGCCCCACAAACAACTGTCCAAAAATAACCTCCTGCAAAGCAAGCATGTTTGGACAGAGATTCAATTGCAGCAAATCACAAACACAAAATGGAATCGAAGAAGGAAACACAAAAGAAGCAAGGCCACGATTTTCAATCCAAATCTGGGGTCTAAATCTAGACCCCGCTTTTGGAGCAGGACCCACAGGCAAATTGCCAAATCCAGGTGAGAGAACATGCAAATCTAGAGCACTACCGATCAATCTTCAGGGCCCTGACACGTCGACGAGGACGATGCAGTGGAGCTTGACTCCTCTGCTGTGTCCTTGCCGTTCTCCGCCAACATCTTTTTCCTGCAAGCGCGGCAGATGGCATCAAAATCATCAGCTGTAACAGTATTGCAAAGAAACACTTCACAGCAATTCGCAGGTTTGACAAAACAGCCAACCAGATGCAACCTGCGGTGCCCCGCTCTCCGAGACACCGTAATGAAGTACTTCGATGCTTCAGCCGCCTCACGTGACTTTGAGGTCGCTGCCAACATCGACCGAGCATCCTCCTCAAGAAGCAGTGGATCCACATCTTGATCCGTTTCAGTAACCACCTGCCCATCATCCTCCGCCAATGTGATGGTGGGAAAAACCTGACCGAGACAATTGTGACCTGACAAGGTGTTCATGATCGTATGCCTCCTTCGAATACGATTCGGGTTGGCCCCACTGGCCTCAGCAGCCTTGCATACACTCTCAATTGCCTCATCTTCAAAATACTCATCGTCCCTACCCTCAACAATGGAGCGATTGACAGCTTTCTGAATCTTATAAACCACTTGCCTTGCAGTCCTCACGTACTCTTCTGATGAAGTCATCCCAATGCTCCAACGACCCAAATAGGCCCTCATGTCCTTGCTGAATCCAAGAAGAGCAGCAACCGAGGTCAAGAAATTCCGTGGGCTGTGCCCTGAGAAGTGCATCTCAAGACCGTCAGGCAAGAGCAATTGTGTGGGAGCCAGTTCCCATCGTGAGTTGCGAAAGGTTGGAACACGCAAAGAGCTCAGCAACTTGCGAATCAATGAACTAAGCTCTGAGGGCGGAACGAACTTCCTGCGAACGCCTTCCCAATCCTTTCTGGGCTCCATTACCAAATAATCACGTCTGTATGAAAAGGCATCGGACTTCCAAATGTCATGCCCGATTTCAAGCCAGTCAACCCCTGAGAGAGAGATGGTCCTGTGAACATGTGCAATGACTTCTTTCTGAGGTTTGTCCGGGCCCGTAGTCTTGGTTTTGCCAAGCAGCAGTCTCAATCCGAATCTCGAAAAATGCGACCGATGCGGGAGAACAGACTGAATGTCATCACAGCGCAACGCCCCCCAAACCATGACTAAAACGACCCAAGCCAATGCCCGTGCAAAAATCGTTTCAAACTCATCCTCAACTGTCAATTCAAGTGCAACAATCATTGCAACCGTGTACATCTCAGCAGGGCGCCTCGGCGGACTGTCTGCGGCCAGTTCAGCTGACCACGATTTCACATGGCCCAACCATAGCGACTCCTTAGAGAGCTGCTGGTCCTCAGGAACACGTCCAAGCACCTCAATGAGATTCAATGCAATGCTAAAAGATTCAGGAACTGTCTTCCCACATCCCTCATCAACTCTGAACTGCATGTAATCAATGATGTCCTTACAATTCAAAGGAAAAATTCGTCCCCTGTGCAGCTCCAACCAGTTCTGAAAAGGTCGCCAACTCTTGTACCTGTTTTTGAGTGTATTTGCACGACGTGCTGCAAACAAATGTACCCAGCCTGAGAACGGGTCGTCGAGTGACTCAACAATCTGAACGACGGGAAGTTTTGCTGTCTTGATGACGTTCGCCAAAAAAACAGTGTATTTCTTCCTTTCAGCATCAAGCTTCTTCGCCCGGACGTCCGGCGCCTCGTCCTTGTACTTACGTTGCCTCTTTTTTTGATGCCAGTTCAAGAACAACCACGGTACTCGACTGGGTGATTGAAGAGAAAGAATCCCTGACATCAATAATCCCCTGAGGTGAAGGAAGCACAAACAAACCGTCTGCAACCGATTGCATTCTCAAACGCTTGAAGGCTGGGGCCGATACGGATTGCCACCTGATCATTTCTGCAGAAGCGTTCCTGACGTCCTCATCGATCAAGTCCGGGAAATGACCAGTCAACAAAGTGTAGCAATCTTCTTCACTATCAAAAGCTGCTTGTAACTGCAACGGTGTCTTAAACAACTGCTGCAAAGAAGTGATCAAAACAGGGTCGATACTTGGCCACACATCGCTCATGGCGTCAAAACGCCCAAACCCTGCTCCCGGAGGCGTCCCAACGCCCCACCGCGTCCGATCATGCGTCGGATTGCGTAGCGCCCCAACCTACCCAGATTTCTCAGCCCAAGCTGCACGGCCATCTATGGATAAACT